TCCTTACTCCTTTGCATGGACTCGGATTGAAAATCCCCCCCTCCATATCTCGGATAGTTTTCCTCCTCGGGGCTCCGTACGCAATATTATCCATCCTCCCCATTTTTTTCCTTCCTGGGTATTCACGGCGCGCATAAAAATTCAAATGTATTCGGCGGAGCATCGATATTCCGATACCGCGGAGGGGGGAAAAAATATAAAAGGTCCGGAAAATGGGGGAAAAGAGAGTAGGTGCGCGGAACTAAGATGGAAACTTTGACGGCAAAGGGTGGACGATACAGCGGGCCTGTGCTCTCGACTTCCCCCCCAAGCACAAAGAGAAGTTCGGCGTGGACACACGCGGGGGAGACCCGACGATGGAGAGGAAAAGGAAAATTCCCCTCAAGGAGTAAATGCTACTCTCTGCTCTTGCACGTATCGTCACGCATGAAAATACATAAGTCCAGGTTTTTTTTTTTTTTCTCAAGTACAAGTGTACGTGCGAACCTACCGTTGTAATTAACACTTCATCGGAGCCCGCTGCTGCCGGCCATCACACTTATTTTTCTCGCTCCCTGGTGTCGCGGTGGCGCGCGCGCCCTCGTCGTCTCCCGCGCTTCATCCTTTCACAGTTCCCGAGCACTGGTTCCTTTTTTTTTCCTTCTTTCTCCTCTTCACGCTTCACCGAGGACTCTTGCGTCGAATACCGCGTCCTGACACCTGTAGACCGATCATCGATGCGAACATCAGAAGGGGCGGATGGAAAGAGCCGCGCGTGTACGCCGGGGCGTTTTTTGACGTGCCGAGAATTCAATGGTCGAGACTAGAGGGACGCGATGGTTATCGGTGCCAAAACAAAAAAAAAGGGTAAAATTTCACGTGTCTTGGAAACGAAAATACCGTAATGTGCTTTTGTGACGAAAATAGTTGTGTCAACAACACACTTTTTACGGATTTATGGCTCACATATAGATAACCCTTACACGTGAATGGGGGAGCAACGATACTTATCTACTCGTTGTTTTGGGACATTTTTCAAAAATGGCACCATTACTCATTTATAAATTTCACGCGTCTCGGCACCCAAAAAAGTCCCCGAACGATAAATTATCCCCAAAATGGCACGAAAAAGGGGGAAAAAAAACGTACAAAGAAAACAAGAACGAGTCGGAGAAACGCTGCGAAAGAGAAGAACAAAGAGCAGCGAGAACAAGACGCGCTGACAGGGAGAAAAAAAAAAGGGAAAGAAGAAGCGCAAACACACACACACACACTTGGTGGAACAGAGAGAGACACACACGCGCGTGCCCCCGGAGGTCAAAAGCTCGCAGTTGACGTGGTTGTCGCGTTTGTAGTTGACGAAAGCTCTCGGCGCGACATGGTCACAACGCCGTGGTGGACATGAAGTGTACAGCCGCGGTTGGCGTGCACTCGCAAGCGCCCACTGCTCCTCGAACGGCGTGTAACTCTCGTTGTCTCCGCTATATCGCCACGCAACGGGTCAAGGGCCCTTCTTCACAATTGTGTGCACGTGTTTTCTTTTCTTGTTACTATCTGTTTTTTTTTTTTTTTTTTTTTTTGTATTCTCTTTCACCCCCTGTTCCTCCGTTTGTTTTTAAAAACACACAAGCCAGAGGAGCACGCGCGTCGTAGAGCACAGTAACCGAGTTGACGCACGAGGAGCCGGAACGACACGCGGGGCGCTCGCGTCCGCCGGTAGGCGCGCTCTTTAAGCTTCTGGCGCGGCTCCGCGGCTCCTCGAGTTGGTAGGTGGTCGCGGCAGCACACGCTGCCGACCGTTGGGGGGGGGGAGGGGGTGCTCTGCGCGCGCGCCGCCCCCTCCCAAAGAAATGTGTGCTACCAGGAGCCCGATACGCTTCCCTTCCTTTTTTTTTTTTTTTTTTTTTTCGTTACGTGTGGGTGGAGGACGCTGTGCCGAATATTTTGCTCGCACCCCCCTTGACTAACCCTTGGCGAGTCAACGTATGTGTGTACGTACGCGCGAGCCTCATTTTTTATTTAGCGAGTTGTTGCTCTGCGCTTACACTTTGTTGGACAATACGATACACCTGCGTCTGAGGGATGAGTGCGATGGGCCTTCTTTCGTTTGACTCTTGGAAACACAAGATATATCGTTTTAATATACGTGCCGCGTACGGGCAAGGGAGATTTCGCAATCGATGACGGTCCGTGCGTGCTTCGACTATTAATAGGAGACATGATGCTGGGGAGTATCGTTGCGCCGCTTTGGGAGTGTATTTAGCTCGACAATGGGATCGAGAGATTTTTTGTGCCAGCAGCGACCAACTTTCTTTACAAGACTTGCGGTGTTAGGTCTCGATTGACTTGTTTAAATTTGAATCGCAGATACGAAAAATGGAGAGGATTTTTCAATTCGCGATTTGGATGGGATTGATGCAAAAAAGTTTCTTCATGGATTTCAAAATGTCAAGTGCATCCCTTAAAATCATCCCTTCATTGCATGGCAGTGGTACTCGACGAAACTTGCTCGTTCACCTACCTTTTATTGCTCTCCCCTTAATCAGTGAATTTAATTTTTTATCTTTGCCCTCAAGTCAACAAAAATCTTGCCGATGATAAAATTCATTTAAAAAAAAACAGAAAAAAAAGGCGTTGATAACGGTGCCAAAAGCAATTTACCATTCGGTCAAGCGACGAGTAGAGCCAACAATTTAGCTCGAGTAACGGGGCTATGAAAATACAAATCAATCGCGATCGCTCTTCATATCCCGAATATTAGCGGCGCGAAAGAGGGAGCGAGCTTTTACAAGCTCGCGATGCAGATGCACGTGTACGTATATATATGCGCGGGCGTCATCGTATAATATTTATAAACAATTTTTCTTCTTTAAATCTCGGCCAACGGATGAAAATAGAAGCTAATAAAATTTCGCGCTCGCTCGGCATTTGAAAATAAAATTCTTTGATGTCTCCACCGGGGGGTGCATCGTACGAAAAATCGCGCTTTTTCGCTCGATTCTCATTTATTTCCCCTCTGTCGCGTTGGCGGTTCGGCTGCTATATTTAAAGCCGTGTCTCCTCTCCACTTACTCCTTCCATTGTTTGCTCAGCTACCATGTACTTTATTTTTCCATTCCAATGTAAATAGTTCGTGTAGAGGGTTTTTTTTTTCCGCAATACACACGTTTTCCGCAGACGCATGTAATAAATGTGCACTTCCGCTGATGTTGACACTGCGTGTGTCTCTTTCTCGCTGGCGTAGAGTTTCTATTTTTTTCATACGAGGCTATGAATTTGCTGCACCGCTGATTTCTCAAACTTGAAGAGCCCCTCGGCGTATACTCTGAGCTAGGGTATGTGCACACCGACTTTGCGCGTCAGTTTGAGATTATTTTTTTCTTTTCAGTGTTTTATTGTCAGTAGGGATCAATTAGCTCATCGTGATTTATGTACGCTTGAACTTGCGACCGAAATTTCAAAGATTTTTCTCTTATTGTTTCAGTGTGATGTTATTGTCAAGGGCCATGGATAGCGATGACCTTGGATCCGCAAAATGAAGCCTTTGTATAGCATTAACTTTTTTTCTTAACTACTGGAAAATTCATTCGTCACCATGATTTTTATCGCGTGTCTCTAATTCGACGCTAAGTACATAAATCAATTAACATTCCCAGCCGTACTTTTCTCTATTCGTACAGATTTTTTCAATTTTAAGCTTGTAAGGAAGCAAAGAAAAAAAAGAAAAATTGATCCTCCAAAAATAAAAGGTCGCTCAACCATATTGATCATAATGATGCAGGGGAAAAAAGTAGGAGCGGTTGATGAGGTGTGACTTAAAGATGGAAAGGCAATCGATTGCTGTGTGTGATGAGGGGAACTTTTTTTTCTTTCTTTTTTTTTCAAGTGACGCATACATAAGTACACGCCCTGTAATCGAAGGGTGTCTCCTTACAGCTACTTCACGCGTGCGCCTTACATTTTTACTGCACCAAAGGAAAGTGGCCGCATATAAATCTGGGACTCTATATTAAGGTTTATTTGAGACGCGAACGAAATTTTTACGTACTAACTAGGTCATGGTTAACAATAGGGGACGTTTCATCATAACGGAGAAACGGACATTCCAGCACGTTTTTTATATGTATTTTCTCTATAGAAAGGCAGGTATACGCTTTTAATCGCTGAAGGGTATTACAAAACATTAAATATCAAGAGCTACAAATATAATCATAAAAGCTCATTGTTGTCTCGTATTAAATGGACATTAATGTAACTACTTACGATAGCACGAATGCAAAGGTATAGAAATTTCAAAATGTCGAGAAAACCAGGGGCTTTATCACGATTTGTGATAAACCGTAAATTATATCTCAAAAATATACTCCTTAGTGAGATATCACACGTTGGGATAAAACCTCAGCTAGAACATCAAAATATAGCTTTTGTTATATTGTAACAGTAGTGCTTTATGTGCATGAAATTCTTTTTTTTATTTTTTTTTGCATTGTAGCCACTCGTTCAAAGAGAAGTTTCACCATCTTTTGTTTCTCATTGAAATTTCTCTATAAATCCTTGAGCGCCTATATCGCAAGTTCCCTCTTAAATTTCTTCGATACTTGGATGTTACTTAACCTACAGATAGAAACGAGATTTCAGTCAGCGCTTCTACCGCAGTGGAAAATTTTGACGTGTTGCAACAAGACCTATTCCTCACCGGATCACAAAATGGTTGAACCGCATGTATGGACTGACAAAAATGGCCCCTGCACAGATTACGCGAGTATCAGGGAATAATGATGTATCAATCGCACGGCTTATAATCTGGACCACGACATGCTGGTATATACAAAATGTGGCCTTGTAGTCAGAAAAGCTAGCTTTGTAAATATGTATGTATTTTTTAGCTTACGCAGTTTACCATCAACAAATTTAAGACGTTGCACAGCTTTTCAATTAAATTACACAATGGACTTTATGATCAGCAAGGATCAACCAAACCGTACCGAGTAACATTCGTCGATAGGGATGAATGGGCTTACCTTAGCGTTTTATGGTCCATATCGAGGGGATGGAAACGCACACCGGGTGGTGAGAAACGCGCGAGGTTGGCGCGACCAGCCCCGGCACCGGCGTAGGGACCAACGCCACCTGTACCACGAGTCCGACGTGGTGACGATGCCATGCGGTTAATGCAGGGCCCGGTTATGGTGGTGACACCGCCTCCCCTGCCGCACACGTTGCTGTCCGAGTAGGTCGTGAGGAGGGGCCGGTGCAGCAGTGCCGGACTGTCAGCTGCCGATGACGTTTCCGACGTCATTTTTGTTTTGGCTGCTGCTATTGTTGTTTTTTTCGTTGTTTTTCTTGCAATGTAGATTCGTCTCTTCCGCGATGGTGATGATGCCGTCGTTGTCGTCGTGGTCGTCGTGGTTCTTGTTGTTGTAATTAGGAGGGCTGCTGACGATGAGTTGTTGGTGTTGGTGGTGATTGAGGTCGTGATGGTGGATGATGGTTGCGCTGGACAAAAACAGCGTCGTATTCATGACGATGGTGACGATGCTGTTGCTGGTTGGTAGTGGTGGTGGTGGTGGTGGTTGTTGGTGTAATTTACTGGTTGTTAAGTGGTCTCTGTTTTGTTTTTTTTTCTGTGCTTGCTTTGTTTCGTGAGATTTTTTGGACAAATTTGGTTGCAATTGAGAGCTGATGTGAAGAGCGATGGGATGCACAGCCACCAGCCAACACATAGAGACACAGACAAAGACAGGCACACCCACGGAAGCGTTTGGAAAAACAACATAGACAAATACAATCATCATTTAGTGTTTATGGATATAAAGTGAGATTTTTAATACGATGTGTTAAAAGGTTGAGTGAAAGTTTTTGCCACTTTAATGGGTTATTCGACAAACAACTTGAAATATGCGAATTGTTTCTTTAAAAAAAAAAAAAAAACGACGTTTTCGAGTAAGATACAGAATATTAACAAAAACATTGATGATTTCATGTATTAAAAAATAATTTATGCAACGTTATTTAAACAGACAAATCTCTTGTATTACCATGAAAGATACTTACTATCTATTTGTCAGCTGGGTAGCTTTCTTCTTCTATCTTTGCGAGACATTTTTCAAGATGATTCAGCAACACTTTTTCACTGAATCTTTCCCCATCTGGAAAAGAAAAAAGTTTTTATTTTTCAACTCAATTATCCTTAAATTCAATTAACGTCAAAAATAAATTTCATATCATTAATTTCGGATCATTTATGCTTATACATTTATGTATGAGAAGTTTTAAAATAGCTTCTTCTCTGCAAAATTCAATACTTTTGTTTGCATTGGTTTGTTTACGATTCATTATGTGTTTTTGAAACAACATGTTGTTTTAATTTTTTCAAAGGCCCTAGCGCATCATTAAAATTTTCGTATCAATTGAAAACTCGATTTAGATTTAAAAGTTATGACTAGAAAAAAAAGACATTCGAGCATTCCACACCCAACAATACACTTCCACAGACATCGGGGGGTCTTAAAAAATTCGAGAAAAGCCCTAAAAAGCACTTTTTGAGATTAAAAACGAGCGGGGGTATAACGTGTACACCCCGAAATTGCTTCCTGATTTCTAATTTAGAATGTAATTTTTTTTGAAAGATGAATTGTTTTAGAATCGCGAGTAAACAACGAAAACATGAATTTTAGGCACTGCCGTTTCTGTAGAACAAAAAATCCCACAACCCAGCCCGGGGGATCTCCTTCGCCGGCGCCACCGAACCCCACCGCGAGACAACGTGCGAACAGCAGCCCAACGAAGCCAGAGACCTCGGCAAAACATTGGCAGCCAACTAACCCTCTCTCGCACGAACGGTGCCGGACCAGTTCGTTAACCAAAGAACGCGACCAGCAACAAGTTCATTGGCAAAAATTCAACGGGTCTGCCAAGAGTGTGCGCCCCTCGACGTATACGCGAGAGAGACTCGACGACAGGTCGGCGAGAAAGAGACGCGCGTAAGGAAGATTAACGCGCGGACGGGACCGTTTACTTGTACTTGGTGAGCTCGTACGTTTCAGCGCAGTCGACTGTACATACACACACGCTTTTTTCTTTCTCCCTCCTCCGCGCGGCAATTGGCTAATGCCATGTGCGCCGGGGATCGTCACGGAGTCGCGGAACCGCGATGCTCACTCGTGTGATTGTTTCACGCTCCATTTTGTACTCGACTTATTTCCATTTTCAATCATTTTGGCACTCGATCGACCGATTGTTTTTTTTTTCTTTTTCCAAATAACATGATATCTAGCACGCAACATGGTACGAGATGATTTATTGTTCAGTTGTCCGATCGTCAAAACAAACAGCAGCCGGCAATCAAAGCTCGGCAACGCGACTTGGGAAAGAAATAATCAACCTCTCGAGGGGGGAGGGGAAAAAAAAAGAAGCGTCCCCGCCAATATTCCGATTTCCATAATCCGAAATGGATGGCTTGGGAGGGAGCGGTTCTCCAAACGCGTTTCGCTTTTTCCCGTGCACGAAAAAAGGGTTTTGGCAAGCTGACAAATCCGCTGAGCGATCGATGAGCGTTGGCTTGTTTGAAAAATCAAAAAGATCGAGGGAGAGGGACGAATAACACGCGGAATCGCAGTGTCTCGAGCAGGAGAAAAAAAAAATTAATCTCCCGAAACGCCGAGAGATCGCTGCTGTTTGTCGATACGGACATGGTAGAGGAAAGGAAGAAAATGGCTATGGTCATTGGCTTTTCGCGCGTAGCTGTATTCCGCCGGGGAATCGTGTGTATACGCGTCGAAGGGATAAAGTTTTTACGCCACTGCGACCGAGCCCTCTTTCTCTGTGTATGCGTGTATAACCAAGTAGTCGTTGGATTTATCATCTTCCTTTTTCTCCCCTCCATTGGAAGTACGAAACAGAGCGTGGGGGACGATTTCCTCGGTACATGCGGATGATGTCGCTGAGGGAAAATGCAGAAGAAAAGGTTCGGAGGGGGCGAGGGAGCTAGTTGACTTTATGACAACAGTCCATTCGTGCTGATTGGAAAAGTTACTGCAGCCGCTCTGTTACAGGGTGTCGTTGAGCCTCGGCTGTTTCTTTGGAAACGTGGGTCGGGGAAAAATCCCCTGGAACACATTGTGCACCATTGCATCTCGCTCACGTGTTTCTTACGACTAACTGGAAAAAATGAGCTTGTGCGTTGGGAAATTGGGGCTTTTTGGAAGATCATTACTTTTGCTTGCTCAAAAATCAACAATGTACCGTGTATTTTTTCCTGTCGATAAATCAAACGTTTTTCAAAACAATCGTGTTAAATGAAGATGCCAGGATTTTATTTACTTTCTTATTTTTTTTATATTACGCATTCTTTTTAATTCATGTCTAACTATTGAAAACAAATAAATGAAATAAATAAATAAAATAACGCAATGATGTGCGAAAAAAAACTAATTCACTAAATTGTCGTGTCTGACCGTACGTACGTTTTACTACTTAAAATTTTGCATTCGCGTGCCCTACAAGATTAGAGCGAATTTTTTCAAACTGATTTATTTGCGTGATAAATAATGAACAAAATGTGAGGTTTAAAGAGTTTTTTAGTGCATAAATAAATTCTGCATTTGTGAGTTATTTAAAAATCACTGAAGAATCAGCAGTACATTGCGGTGACAATCAAAATCATCAGCCAAATTCGGTAATTAATGGACGAGGGTCGACTTTTACCAAATTCAATTTGCCTATAAAGTTCCAATTATCAACTTGTTTTTAATTTTCGAGGTCTCACATTTTATGATTGGTTTACCTACTCCTTGAATCGAAGGCAAAGTATGAGTATTCGCTCTGTTTAGCGTATCACCTTTGCAACGTAAAAAAGCAAATACGCAAGTACAAAGGGCGAAGAGAGAAAGCTGCAGTATCGACGCCAGCAAAGAAAACTTTCTAGTCGTCCCGAGAGCTTTTTCGTTCGAAAAAAGCTTCGCTGGTCAGTTGCAAGCTCCGTGATGGTATCGAACCTCGATAAGGCAGAGTTCTTCCTCCCTATTTTTCGATCCACTCGCGTGGGTCAATAACATTGTAACCACCGGTGATACTTTATCGCGCGTTTTTTTTGGCACGGACCAGGGCACGAGTGAAAAATGACGTTTTAAGCTCCTATGAGTTCGGGCCAACAAATATATACACTGGATGGAGCTCGCTGCCAAAAAGCTTTTATGATTCATCAGCGGCGAATGCTTCTGTTGGCCATTTTTTTTTCATCGGTGGGCGAAATCTATCTCAATAAATTTTAATTGCTATTGAACGCACAGTTAACTTTATGTTCAACATTTTTTTTTTCTTATTTAGTTGCATCAAACTTCAGTTTTACTTCTGACTTGGGAAATTTAGTACGACTCGTTTGAAATGATACATTTTCTGGAAACTCACTGATTTTTTAAATATTTTATAGCTTGTACCGTGTCAAACTAGCATCGTATTTATTGAACCAAACACTTGCTAGTAGTGTTTGTTTATATAAAATCTGAGTAGTACCGGGACAAAATAGATTACAGATCGCAAAAAGCTTACGTTCTGTAAACATTTTTTTTTGTATCCGAAGCCTAATTGATGAAGTACAAGCCTGCCAAGGCAAATTTTTTATTATTCTCTCTAAAATATTTATTCTCACCCTTAAAATTAGTTAAAGTAACCAGCTAAATGCAATAATTATTTTCAATCATTTACATACATTTTTAACAAATCATAAAGGACAGAAAATTATGTAAGAGAATTTTTTTTACCAATTATAAGCTTGCTGTTAGATTTTTAAAACTCAAAACGATCCTACATTTTTTATTAAAAATATGCAGATTATTTAAAAAAATTTCCATATTAAGCATTTTCTAATTTTTCTCGTAATTTTTCGTGTGTAAAATTTATATTAATTATTTGTTATGTGCCAAGCCTATTGTTTCAACAGTATCCTATGTTTTCATGATCAAGAGAGATAATCATTTTATTTTTTGTGTTTTACGTAGGTATCCTCCTAACGATGTATACACTGCATATCTGACAACTTCAAACCTACGTCGTTAACTACGAGGGTAAGTGTTAAAATTTGTTCTCACTATTTTTATGTCAAAGTATTCCGACTTAATTAACGTCTTCGATTTTTCAACGAATTGAGAGTAGGTATAAAAAAGTAGAAATTACTAGTTCACGTAATAATCAGAATGAGGTTGCTTCAAACTATAGTGTTGAGCACACGCATGTATGAAGATAATTTAGGAGAGCTGTTTGTACGAAAAAGTTCTACAATATTATGTAGGTAATATTTCATCAACAAAGTTACCATCTAGTAA